GGGATTTTCTAGCTGTTTCTCTACGTGTCCTTTTTATAGGAATGAGGATTGGGGGAATGGGGCCCACAGGAAGGGAGGTTCTGGTCCTGTTCCGTAAAGCTTCATTTCCAGGGCCATGAACACATAGATGGCTGCACCAGTGTCTCCGGTCCTTCTTCACAGGCAATAGATCATCCTTTTAATCTACCCCCCCCCTTTTTTTTTTTTTTGCCAGAAGTCTTTTCAGTTAAATGGAGGTTTCTTTGGAATAATTAAACCTTCCATCTCAAGCCTCTCACTCCAATCATCCAGCAAATCAATTAACCAGAGATGCTTTTATCTGACTGACTGCTGACCCCTTTCTGGTTCCAGAGCTTTTGCCCCCAGGGCAGCTCTTGGAGAGAAGAGGTCTCTGTCCCACAAACAGCTCTTTCCCAAAAGGCTGGACACTATTATTTGAAATAATAACAGCCTTATTGTTTATTTTATTTAGGATTTGATTTTTATTTATTCACCCAACAAATATATATTGAGAAGCTAAGAGTAAGTCCCCATGATAAGTTCTATGGGACATGAGACAGCTGCGGTAGGCAGCTGAACCTCCCTGAGCATCTCTTCTCTAAAATGAGGATATTGGCATATACCTTATAGGGCTGTTGTTTGAAATGAGATAATCCACATGGAGCATTTAGCACAGTGTCTACCTGTAGCTACTACCGTGTACATTTTCATGGACAGCAATTAGAGGATATGCTCCTGCAAAATGAAGGAACAAACCCATAAAGAGAAAGATATAGAGCCTAGGAAGCAAGGAATCTAATTGATTAGATTGAATACTATGCTTAATAAATGTTAGTTGTGGATTGCTAGTTTAATTAAGATCAAATCAGTTGGAGTCAGTGAGGGCTGAGTTGGAATCTCCACTCTGCCACTTAGTGGCTGTGGGATCTCACCCCCATTATTTAACTCTCTGATCCACCTCCTTCTCATAAAGTAGGAATAATAAAACCTAGAATAGTAAAACCTACGTAATTGAGCTCCTGTGAAGCAAGGTGACATCTGTGAAGTGCCCAGCACACAGGCAGCACTTTTATGGTTTATGAAGAGGTGAGCTGTCTGACAAGCACTACAAAAGGTAGAATATGTTAAGTGCACAGAATGGAGGTAACTGTTTGATTCTTCATACTTGAATGCATTGTCCCTATTTCCAACTATTGACATATGTTAATTTTTGTTCATTTTTTTTACCAAGATAATCTATGTCATGCAGAGTTGAAATGCAAAGTAGGCTTGTAATAAAAACATCAGTTCCTAGTCTAGCCATCACCCCAGGCCTGATCCCTAGAGGCAACCACTTCTAACTCTTCTTCATCTTTGCTTTTTTCTGTTATTTACCTCCATATTTCTAAGTTATTGGTGATATATCCATTTTAAGGAATTATTTATTGAGATCTTCTTAGGCAGAGGACCCATTAGCCCTCTTTTCTGAGCACCCCACTCCATGCATCTCTCCTTCCTCCATTCTCTCAATATATTTAGAGCAGTTTCATGTGTTACATTATTTTCACTAGGGAAATATTGTTTATGTTGAGTATGCTGTGATTATTTCCTTTCTTACCTTTTGTTTTTTTCCTAGAGTTAATATTGCCTTTTTTTTAATTTGTTGAGTTTTTTTTTATGTGTCTATCCTTCATTATATTTCCATCCAATTCACAGTCCTGTCACCTGCCTGTGACATAATTTATTTCCTAAATTATGAACTATATCAGATTATCTCACTTTTCCCCTGGCTACCTCCCTCTAGTGGACCTTCTGTGATCCTGCCATAATCTTGGCCAGCTCCTTTTTGTCACATCTCTTTCATTCTGGAACTTTCCTTGCTGCTTTGTCCAATTAAATTTTCTGTCTCCTGAGCTCCATACCTTCCTCTTTATTGTTTTATTCCTTCACTTTAACTGGAGCATATCCTCTAGTAGCTTCCTAAGAAAGTGTACATGGGAAATAAATGTTTAGAGTCTTTGGCTTTCTGAAAATATTATCATTCTATTTTCATGCCTAATGGTTTCGGGGTGGGGGATGTAACAGAATTCTAGGTTAAAAAGTATTTTCCATAAAAAAATTGAAGGCATTGCTTCATTGTCTCCCAGCTTCCAGTATTGCTATTGAAAGGTCGAATGCCAAAGTTACTTCTGTCCTTTGCATATGACCTGATGTTTCCTCTCTGGAAGCTATTGGGGTCTTCTCTTATTTCATGATCACCTAAAATTTCACAAGGATGTTCTGAGAAGATTCTTTTTCCACTGATTGTACTGAGCACCTGAAAGTCCATTTAAATCTGAAGACACATGTGCTTACATCTAGAGAATCCTCTAATATTATTTCTCTGATAATTTCTAGCCCAAACGCTAGACAAGAAAGGAAACAACCTCTGCACTCTCTTTACAGGATTTCTGGTTTTTTGGATATTAGAGCTAAATTAACCTCATTTTCCCCACTATTTCTTATCTTTCTTCTCCTTAACTTTCTATTAACTTTTTGGAAGAGTTCCTCAACTTTGTCTTCCAAACTTTCTATTGATACATTTCTGATACTTTATTTTAATTGCCAAGAACTCTTTCTTGTTCTTTCTTCCTTTTTCATAGCATCCTACTATTGTTTTATAGATGCAATATCTTATTTCATTTCAGTGGATTTTAATTACCAGGTTGTGGGGTTTTTTTCTTAAGTTTTCTTTTATTCTGCATTGTCTGCTTCCTGCAAGTTCTTTGTATCAACTTGTCTCTTTTGATCTCTTTCTTTCACATAAAGACTTTCCTGAACCATCCAGTGATCCTTGGCTCTCTGTTTATTCCTAAGTAGAGGCGACAAAAGCAGTGTGTACAAGTTCTGCTTGTTGATTAAACAGCTTCACTGTAGGGCGAATGGGCACCAACTGTGTTTGAATAAATACTAATAACTCACTAAGCAGTTGATTCCTCTTTTGAGAAGCAATAGTTATTCTTTCTAACCCTGAACCCATAGCTGCCATCTTAGAACTCAGTTTTCATTCTGTCTTAAGTTTGTGTGTAAAAATGCTATTTTAAGGTGTGTATGTACCTGCACTTTCTGGTTATAATCCTTCTAAAAGTAAATTCTTATTTTTTAGAAAGCGATTCTAGGGATCCCTGGGTGGCGCAGTGGTTTGGCGCCTGCCTTTGGCCCAGGGCGCGATCCTGGAGACCCGGGATCGAGTCCCACATCGGGCTCCCGGTGCATGCAGCCTGCTTCTCCCTCTGCCTGTGTCTCTGCCTCTCTCTCTCTCTGTGACTATCATAAGTAAATAAAAAATTAAAAAAAAAAAGAAAGAAAGCGATTCTAGGGGCTGTATGGAAATAAGAGTTAAGTCAGAGAAACTTGGGTCTAAATCCTGACTTCTGTACTAATTACATGACTTTGAACCTCTCCCAGGTTTGGTTTTCTTGACTATAAAATGGTGATGATGATATCAATAATAATAATAATAACACCTATCTCAGAGAGTTTTGAGGTTTATCATTTACGCTTAGCAAGTGCCTGGTACATAGTAAATAATCTGTAAGGACCAGGGATGATGTTTTAGCCAGTTGAATGTTATACCAATAAGCTAATCTCTCTAGAGACATATCCTATAAGTTTTCCCAACCTTATGACCAAGTCCTTGAGGGTGTAATCAAAATTCTAATAGCAGAAATAGAAAGTTCAGCCTCATTATTGGTTGTCTTGTGTCTCAGTTTTTCCAACCTATGTTGACATGTTGGGTAGTTGTACAACCCTGTGCAAATCTGTTTTTCCTTTCTCATCATTAGAATCTTTCTTACAATTATTTTTGTAAAAGCCTTTTCTTCTGATGATGAAAGAAATGCGTGTTCTCTTGAAATGCAGAAAAGTATAATTTTCCTTTGCCTTTGCTAGTTGGCCTCTGGACTGCCTGCTGGTCTTTGCTGGGGCACTTGGCCCTGCAGATCACCTGCTTCTCCAGCCCTCACTCGCAGTGCAGGGCAGCAGTACAGCTGTTCCTGTCCTGACCACGAAGCAGGGAGGCCATGAGGAGACAAAGGAGATGGTGTCCTCCAGAGAAGCATGTCACTGCCACCTCCCCGGGGCAGAGGGCCTGTGACAGCTCACTCCGATCCAAGCTGACACCCGACAAGAGCAGCTTCTATCAGCCCTGGGAGATCTGGTGTCACCTGTGATTAATTCTCAAAGCTGAAACCAAGCAAGTTCCTGATTAAACAGTGGTGTCCCAGGGTCCCTGTCACTGCCGGGTAAGAGTGGCTGGTCATGGAGCAGCTGCCTGAAGCCCCCACCACAAGGATCCCAGCAGCTGTCGGGACAGGTGTCAGGCCCAGTGTCGGGCACCCCCTCACCTTCTCAGGGGTTGCGCCTCATCTTTCCACATCCTTGGCCTTCCTCCCCCCGGCTCCTGGAGTGGCCACCCTGGGCATTCACGACGGCCTTGTCAGTCACTATAAGGAACACCACCTTGGGGAAATTACAGTGCATGCCATGGTGTGTTCCTGCCCAAACCCATGGCATGCCGGGGGCTGAAAACATAATTCACAGTGAAGGGAACTCTTCTGGGTTCAGGAATGTGGTTTGCCGCTTTTGACCTAATGAATTAGTAGCTGATAAATAAATAAAAAAACGTACAAAAAAATAAATTTAAAGAACATCTCCACTCTGTAAACAGTCCTAACGAAGACTTTGTGAAGACCTCCACCCTGGCCAGGACTAACCCCAAGGCTACCATCTGCCCTACTCTCTGGGCCCAGAGGTCTCAGGTCCTGTAGCCAGTGGCCTTCCAGGCTGGCCATGGGCTGCAACAGAACCCTTCTCCCCAGCAGCTCCTGGCCATGGTCCACTGTGTCACTGTCACCTGGAGAGAAGGGTGTCTTGGGATTTTTCGACCTTTTCTTCCAAAGCAGGGCATCACTCTGATAGTAGAATGGTTCTCTCTCCAACCTCTACCCTTGTGCCTAGTCAGATTATCTTTCCTTTTATAGATTCCGGCCTTCGCAGCTCTAGATCCAGAGGAAGACTGGCTCAGGGAAGGATAGGCACCAGCCCGGAGGAGCAAGAGTCAGACCTCCATAACGGGACAGCAGCCGCTGTCTGCTGAGCACCAACCACATGCCAGGTACTTTGCTTATGTTATCTCAGGTGTATTAAAAACAAAAACAAAAACAAAAACAACAGTAAGTGAGGCTTACCTAAGACTTGACAGGGGAGTGGTGTGGGGAGGTTCAAGGCAGAGGGAGGTGTGGAGATCAGTGAAGTGTGCGGATCTGGTGAAGAGCAAAGGATTCAGTCAAGATGAGACTCCATGAGTCAGCAGGAGGCAAACCCTACAGGGCCTGGGGGTCAAGATAAAGGCGTTGAGGGTTCCTGGGTGGCTCAGTCAGTGAAGTGTCTGCCGTTGGCTCAGGTCATAATCCTGGGATCGAGCCCTGCCATTGGGCTCCCTGCTCAGCGGGGAGTCTGCTTCTCCCTCTCCCATGTCCCACTCATTCTCTCTCTGTCTCAAATAAATAATTGAAATTAAAAAAAAAGACAAAGATGATAGATTTCATTGGTAAATGAACATTACTACGGTAAATGTTTCTCAGTGAGGGAGGCGAGTGAGACCAGGAGCTGCTAAGGGGTTTGTCCACAGGCAGGTCATCTCACTGTCATGTAAAAAGTTGGGCAATGGGGATCCCTGGGTGGCTCAGCGGTTTGGCGCCTGCCTTTGGCCCAGGGTGTGGTTCTAGCGTCCCGGGATCGAATCTCACGTCGGGCTCCCTGCATGGAGCCTGCTTCTCCCTCTGCCTATGTCTCTGCCTCTCTCTCTCTCTCTATGTCTATCATAAATAAATAAATAAAATATTAAAAAAAAAAAAAAAAAGCTGGGCAAAATGGCCCTTCCTGTAGAACCTGGCTCAGGAGCCTTGACCTTGCTTTTCCCATTGTTTGTAAGAAGGCTCACGTGACCTAGGGTGTGACTCAAGAGTGGACGCAGGTCCCTGCTGGGGGTTGGGGCAGAGCTGACGGTGACAAGGTGGGGGGGGGGACGACCATCCAGCGCGGTAGACTGTCAGCACCTCGGTGTCTGTGGGCGCGAACCTGGGCAAACTGTTTCCAAGAAAACTGCCCCGAGCTGGACACCAGTTGCCAGATTGATCCCAGAAGACCAGGCTGAGTTAGGCTGAGTCACAGCCAAGTGTGTGGGGGAGGAAATACATCTGAAACTGTGTCTAAAATGGTTTTCTCTTCGAGGCTAGCTACACTATCCATAGTTTTTGCCCATGAAATACTTAGTGTGTTTACATCTGTGTGTGTCTGTGAGACAGTAATACAGTGGACACTGTGTCACCAGAGTTTCCAGGGTGTCCCTGGCATCACAGCCACTGTGCCGCCCTCACCAGGGGAGCCACCATTCTGGTTTTTATCAGTTACTCACCCCTCAGCGTATATTTTGCTGTATATCCTTAAGAGCATAGGTTAGTCGTGTGTTTTAGAGACGCATACAGTGTCCTATCGTGTGTGCTCCGTGACGGGCTGCTGTGCTCGGCGCCACATTCCCAGGTTTATCCATGAGGATGGGGGCAGGCTTCTCCTCCTCGCTGCACTGCTGTAGCAAGTGGCGGCCCTGGAGGCACACGTTGCTTATCCTCCCTCTTCCCTCAGGACATTGGTGTGCTTCCTCGGGCTCGGATGCACGCTGCCGCTGCCACTGCCCCCACGGACCGTCCTTACACAAGCCTCCTGACCTATCAGGTGGTTTCTCTAGAGATCACACCGAGGAGGGGAGCCTGGGTGTGTGCCCTGCCTACCAGGTCAAGTCAACCTCTTTTCTGATCCCAAAGTTCAATTCAGCCCCTCCCGGATGCCGGGAGGTGAGTCACTGCTCACCTCGGTCTTTGGCCCTTGAGTGGGAACAGGCCGGCTGGGTCATGGTTCCTAATCTGGGAGGACACCATTCAGCCCAGACGAAATGTCTATAAAACAGGGACAATCCCACCCCCTCTCTGGGTTGCTGTGACAATGACAGTAGGTGACAGGTGCATCACGCGGCACACGGTAGCATCTCATCCCGGGGGGTACTCTGTACTTTCTCTTCTGCGGCCCTCCTCATGACCTTCCGCAGCTGTCTGTGCTGATGGCCAGCTCTCATCAGCCAACTGCAGGTGCCTCCCAAGGACAGGGACTGTGTGAGAAACGCCTCCGAGTCCCTGCTCGTGGGACAGTGCTCGGCGCTGGCAGGTGCTCACCCTCCCTCAGCTGGTGGTGGAGGCGATGGCATCCAGTGAATGGCCCCGCGGCTCAGGATGCTCACCACCAAAGTAGGCAGTTCTCACGAGTTTGACTTGACCAGTGTTTGCAAAGCAACTGGGGTATGAGTGATGGAGCAGACGGACACTAGATGGAGGCTCTGTCGTTTCCTTGCATATAAAGTAGGAGGGTCCCCTTCATTTCCACTTAGTGGAGTAAAAGCTTGGCTCTACTCATTTCCTGCTTTGTTTTCATTTTCCTTCTTCCCAGCAGAGGCCACTGACAGGCCAGTCCGGTCCCTGGAGGAGGTGTTTCTGTTGCACTGGGCATGCACATAACAAGTCTCACAAGTGCCTGGCACAGCCTTCTGTGTCTGTGAAGGGCGGCCAGAAATGCTTCTCTGCTCCATCCACACCTGCTTGCCTCCCTCCTTGAGCTGCCATTTAACTAATTTCTAGGTACATGCCTTTGACCCGGTAACAAGCATAAGCCTGCAAGCCCCTGGTTCTCAGTTCACTGTGCTTAGCTACTCTTTGTGTGAAGTAGATACATTCATTAGTCAGGAGGCTTTGGGGTGCATGTAATAGTTGATCCAATTTAAAATGGCTCAGGGCAAAGGGCATTTATTATCTTGCATATGAAGCAGTTCAGTGGTGGGAGGGGTCTGATGTTGATGAAGTCAAGACCCAGGAGAGGACATCAAGGACCCAAGTTTTTTCCATCTTTCTGCTCTTAGGGTATTAGCTTTTATTCTCCTGTGAGTCCTCAGGTCACAGGATGGCTGCACAACTCCCAGCATGGTGCACACACCTTCACCTGCTGGTATCCAAAAGCTGGATGACAGTGTTCCTTCCTGTGTCCCTACTGAAGATCTAGGAAAAGCACCAGAACTGACTCCCCTCTGCAGACTTGCCACAGGTTGTGTGTGTCACAAAGCACTTCACGTGCGTCTTCTTAAACCACTGGTAGACACCAAACAAGATCTGCTCCTCACAGCTCAGAAGATGCCAGGCCTCCCTGGAGTATGAGGCAGCTCGATTCCTGAAAAATCTGAGAATTCTGTAAGTGGGAGGAAGTGGGGGGCGAGGGGAGTGACATGGATAGACACAGCAGTGGCTGCCACATGCTCAATGAATTTGTTGAATCCAGTGCTTAGGATACTTAGTCTTTTAAAAATAGGTAAGTACATTTTGCTTTATGAGTAGCAGTGGTCCTACTGACTCTGTGTTGGGGGAGTGGCTGCAGTGGGCATGATCATGTCACAGCAAACCACAGGCTCGCCACATGATCCGGGTACCATACTCTGTATCAGGGAAAGGGCTGGCAGAGGTCAGGACTTTTGTCTGTGAGGCAGGGTTGTGGTGTTGTGCCCAAGATCGCGAATCCAAGAAACCACCGAGGGGTCGACACCGATGCAAACACACGAGGGTTTATTTACAAGCTCGAGCTTGGGTCCAAGTGCACCTGACACAGCGGAGCAAGGGACCTGGACCCCGAGGTGGGTTTCAGCTTAGTTAAGGACTGGTCTAGGGGACCTCCAGAAGGCGTGGAGCAATTCCTCAAGTTCTGTTTACATTTTGATATGGGGCCTTCAAGGGCATTGAGCTCTGTTCTTATTCTAATAGGGGCTTCCTGCCACTGGCTTGGGCTCTGTTTTTATTCTAATATGGGGCTTTCTAGGATATTAAGCTGTAAGCTGTTTTCTTTTTTTTTTGTAAGCTGTTTTCTTCCTGTAACTGAAGTAAGGTAAAGTTCAGGTCTTATTCACAGGGGCCTGGGATGGCTGTACTTGTGATAACACTGAACTTAAAGTGGAATGGCCTTAATTTTCTCGGCCTCCACAGTGGCTGTCTGTGTAAAATTCTCTGGATGGAATGGGGACTGGGGTTTCTGTTTTTACTCCAAATCAGCTGCTCATCACAGCAAATATGTATGGTCACTCATGTCCTCCAGGCTGCATGAAGCCAACACCCACTTCAAGTAGCTCAGATTAATGCGGAGACTATCAGAGGTCCACAGCAAGGACCAGGCAGTGCAGGTGGCCAAGGATTATGGGGCCAGCCCTGGAGATAGACCTCTTCTGCTGCTTCTTCTGGACCTCGGGGTTTCTCACTGAGGCTTCCCTCAGTAGACCAGCTTCCACTGCCTGCCTCCACCTTCTCTGCCTTCGCAGCCTCCCCGCTGCCTGTGCCTTGGCTTCACTGTGACTCAGCTCTGCTCACCCCATGCCACCTTCTGGCTCAGTTCCCCAATCACACTCACCGCCCTTCTGTCCCTTCGGCCCTATATGGACACCTCCGCCTGTGGACCCAGTCCTCAGTGAGACAGGTCAGTTGACTAGCCAGGGGGTTTGCTTGGCGCAAACAAGCTGTCAGGGCTGTGATCTTCCCAGAAGACATGAGTGGGGAACAAACATTGGATATTTGTTGGCCTACCTGTTGCGCCATATTTGGCTTTCATCTTTGTTAATTTGTCTTTTTTTTCCCCTTCCAAACTGTTTAAGTAATGCCCTGGTACGGGCTTGCTGTAAATACTAATATGGTATAATGTCCAAGTCCTCCTTGATCATTAACCTCTGAACTTACTCCTCTTCCCAGATGTAACCACTGCTTCCGGTTCTCTGGACCCTTTCCCTGCACTTCTCTCCCTTCTCTTTTGCACGCATGCACGTGCACACATACACCTGTGTAATTATAGTCTTGCTTGGTAGTGCATTACATAAGTGGTTTTATACGTGTTGTGATGTCTTCTTCCTGACACCAAATATGTATCATTTTCCACACACCAACCAATTCTCTGACACCGACTTGGTGTCTAACAACTCGATTCAATCCCAACACTAATTCTCCAGAGTCAGCGAAGACACTACCCCTGCACAGAGCCTGC